TAATCGTTACTTGTAACAAATTATAATAAATTTAATAAAATATTGGCCAAAGAGGTTACTTGTAAAAAAAAAAAAAATAAAAAAAAAATAACAGGATCTGAGTAAATCGCAAATAAAGTATTGGGAACAAGGTATTCAGATAATTATATATTGCATACTTCCTAAAAATAGGTAGTTCAGATATCACAAAGCTGTTCTATCAAGGAAAAGAGGGTAATGGTATTAAAAGATTTCTCTACGATTTTGAGAGCTATGCCAAGTTGAAGAGTTAGGATAAAGATATGATATGCTGAATGGTTTATATTTCATATATCTAAAAGAACAAGTTATAGGTTCACAAATTAGAAAGATCAGTGAATATGAAATAGGCTACATTGAAAAATGCTATTGAAAAAAATATTAAAGATGATAATAATAAATGAGTCAAAATTAATTAATTAAAATCAGTTAAATAAAAAGACATAGAGATGATAAAAGAATATATAAGTAGGTTTAAAGCATGTTTTGAGTCAGTTAAAAAATATGATAAGAAAAGATGAAAAACTTGAGTAGTTTCTTAATAGGTTACAAGAATCTATTCAATTACAAGTAGAGTTTCATTGTCTAAAAGAGTTCAGTAGTGCTAAAGAATTAGTACTACAGATTGAAAATTTTAAGAGAAAAAGAGATAATAGAGAAGAACTATGAGAAAAAAAGATAATAGAGAAGAACTACAAAATTTTATATTTGAAAAGAGTTCATTAATAGTTACTAGAAAAGTTGAGAAAATAATAACTATGTTTAAAGATTTAAAAATAAACAAAGTTAATTAAGAAAAGTTAAACTTAAGAAAAATTTTAGAATTAATAAGCTGAAAGATTTTAGTTTAGTTAATTAAATTCTTTATTCTTTGTTATAATTTACTTGAGATTTATAAATTATAGTAATTTTATAATTCTGCATATAATACATATGAAATTTGAAAAATTATAAATTTACTTATATATAACAACTATAGTATTCACTATAGTAGATTTTAATAAAGTTATATAAATAAAATTTTAGAAATTTTTAATTTTTAATTTAATATTTAAAGATATAAATTTAAATTTAAAAAATCTAAATTATTTAAACAAATAAATAATTTTTATTAAATTGATTAAGTAGTTATCAAAAAGTTATTGCTTATATTAAAATATCTTAAAGCTTCTAATAAATAAACTTATTAGAATTTTTTAAAACTTTAAATAAAGCTATTTTGAAGCTACTAAACTAAATTTAATAGAAATTTTTTTTCTAATTCTACAAATTTAAAAATAGTAATAAAAAAATAGTCATTAAATTTTATCAGATATAATATTCAAAATTTAAAAAAAAATTAGCATATTTTTTATTTTAGATATTTTTAATTGTTTTCTAATTTTCAAATAATATATTTTAATAAATATCTAGTTAATTTTTTTTTTGCAAATTTATAGAATTAAAATAATAAAAAATTTTATTGAATCTGATTAAATAGTTGCTAAAATGCTTTTATTCAAAGTTTAAAAAACTAACTATTTAATTTTTCAAAACAATATATAATTAGAGAACTATTACTTATTACATAATTATAGCTCCTCTTTTAGACTCAAGTATTTGAAAACTTTTTAAACTAATTACTTGAATCAAATATTTTAACAATTATAAATTTTAAAATAATTAATTATAAATATTGTATATTTTATATACCTCTTGTATATTTTATATACTTTTTGTATATTTATATATATTTATATATAAATATACATAGAGTATTGCTAATTTTAACTAGTAGTAATTTTTCTACTATTAAGATATAATATAAATATTGTCATTATTAATAATGATTTTAAACTAATTTAATTTAGCATAATTATTATAACTAATTTGTCTATATAAAACCAACTTATCTAATTGCAAACTTTAAATTAAATTATATATCTTTAACTTTAAAACTTAATATGAATAGTTTATCTAAGAAATTAACTAATCCAATAATAATTTCTAAAATTTATATATCTAATTCCAACTACTAAACCTAATTTACATAATCTTTACTACTTAATTAAACTTCAACTAACTCTAATCCTAACTCTAACTCTAACTTTAAAATCACTTCTACCTAAATCTAACTCTAACTCTAAATTAACTTGTCTAACTCTAACTCTAACTCTAACAAATCCTAACCTCTAAATTTAATTCATCTAATCTCTAAAATTAGCACATTTAATATAATTCTTTTGTCACAAAAAAATAGAATATAATTAATAAGAAGCAGTATCATATGATGATACTATATACTTAGATACTGAAAAAAAACAATAAATTATAATCAAAAGCTTGCTTTGCAAATTATAATTTATATAAAAGAGAATACACTCATAATCATAAATTAGTATATATGCATGTATATATATCTATATGATACTAACAAATAAAAATAAGTAAAAAAACTTACTAAAGATCTAAGAGAATAATCTGTTTTTGAATAATAATATGTTTAAAATAACTGCAGTCTTAAGATTATTAAGTTCTATAGCTCTATTTAATAAATTATTGAATTCTAGATATTAAGTAGAGAAATTGTTCATCTTTTATGAAATTATAATTAGTTATAGTTATGCCTTAAAAAATTTATAAAAATGAATAATTAAATACTTACTATTATATATTAGTAAAGTTCAAAATTTTCTAAACTATTTATAATTATATAAATTTGAGATAGATTTACTATATTAATCATAAATTTCAAACTATTTTATAAACTGTGAAGAGACTAATATTAATTTAATAAATTTGATATCTAATATAATAATATTCTAGACTGCAAACAATATAAAAGTGTTATATAAAAGTTATAAAATTTGCTATTAAAATATACTAAGTAATAAGTAAAGAATACATTTGACTAAATATGCTAAATTATAAAATATTTTCTAATTAGCTATATTTTTTTATCAATATTGATATTTTTTTTACAAGTTGTATAATTATGACCTTTGTATTTACAATTCTTACAAGTCTTTCTATTATTCTTGATTATACTTGTTGTCTCTGAAATATTATTAATATTATAATTAATATTAACTAATTGTAATATATTGCTAGTTAACTCTTACCGTAGATCACTTGTACCAAAACTCCCCAAAAATATTTTGCCATAACTAAATATTTTATTAAGTAAACAACCTTTAGGCTACTAAGCAAAATTGTTCTACACAAAATTTTG